TCATATATGGATTTTAGACATAGATCTGGGGAGTGCCAGCCTACAATCCTATGGCCAGAGAGTCTGGGAAACAGACACTTTATTTAGTGGCTGATGGAAGAAGAGGCAGACTCCCTTGGTTAAGTACTGAGCTGAACTCAAGAAAGCCAGTAACAGAGAGGGAGGACTGATGATCAAAGGGATTAAGACTGGGCTGGTTTAACCCCCAGAAACAGCTGACCAGACAAAGTTTAACTCTTGAATCCCAGGCATCAGCCTGGGAATCCAGCATGGGACTGATCAAGACCCCCTGAATCTGGGTGTCAATGAGGAGGCCTAGAGAATCTATTGAGCCTTGGGCAGCAGATCAGTACCCATCCCAAGTATACACATGGACTTTGGACTCCCATAGAACAATGTGAGATGCACTCTCACCCTGAACTCTTGGGGAAGGGTCTAGGCCCTGCCCTATATGAAATGACAGACTATGCACACCCCCATGGATGGCCTCACCCTCCCTGGGGAAATGAGGAGATAACGGGGGGGGGCACAGGAGGAGGGGAGGGAATGGGAGAGGGACCTGGAACTGACTTGTGAAGCAACCTCGTTTCTTATCTAAATTTAAACTGGAAAATAAAATTAAAAAAAAAACAAAACAAAAATTTTACTTAATATTCATTAAAAAAAAACACAAAAAAAGTGTTGGGTAGAAGCTGGCCAGAAAGAAATCATCTCAAAATTACAGTTTGTGTTTTATCCAGTGGTTATTAGCAACTTGAAATATAGTCACTTGATGGACTCCTTGGTTGTTTAACTGAGGAAAAGCATTTTCCAATATTTTCAAATGAAAAAATATGAACATTTCAGCTTTTAGAGTATAATTCAATTTAGCTTTAAAAAAAACTATTCTTTAAGGTGCTGTTGTCAGAACCAATCTGAAATAATAGATCTAAAAATGAAACACAGGAATCTTATTGAGTTACAAATGGGAAAACTCAATTCTTAGGTGTATGAACTTTCAGTGTCGTGTTTCTATCTTTCTGACACGTTGAGAATTTATTCTACTCTATCCTAACCCCATTCTTTATACATCGAGGTCCTCACGGAAAAATCCCAGTTCTTCTGACTTTGACTCACTTTCATGATTTGACTTATTTATTCGCTAAAGCCCCTATAATTAATGAATGAAAAATACAGTTCCTGCAAGATTAGAAATGGTATCATGCTTCCTAATTTTCCTTAGCTCTTTCCTACCTTTTATGTCTATAAACCAGTTCACCCACCACCAATGCAGAGGAGTTGAGTATAAAAGATCACACTACTGGTAACACAAGCATTGTTTGGAGAAAACTTACTCCAGCTCGGTTAGTTACCTGTATTCCCTGATGGCTGAGAGCTATCTGTGTGTGTGGATATGCACAGTACCAGTATGGTTACCAAGAAGTATTTTACTAAAAGAAATATTTACTATTATGATTCAAGGAAGTGATGAGTCTTTAGTTTTAAGACATTCTACTAGAAACCACTTTTGTCTTCCATGTAGAAAAAAAAAAACTTTCTAGATCCCTTGAACCTGTTTTGAAAACTGTGACATAGTTAGAGTTTTCCTTTCCTTAACATTAGCAGAATACATTTCCTTTCCTTAACATTAGCAGAATACGTTTCAGCGTATGCCAGGTGTATACTTGTCAAGCATTGCAAGTATTTGGTAATCTGGCAACACCTTACAGTAGCAGTTACAATGATATCTTGTGATCAATGCTACGGCATTTTAACTAGAACAGGACCATGTGTATTCTTGTGAGAAAATAAGGATGTAATGTCTAAACTATTAATAGTGCAGACTACTTCCCTGGAGTCTTTTTTAAGAATGTTTTATTTTTGATAATTTCATACAATATATTTTATTATATTTTGCCTCCACTTCCCCAATTCTTCCCAGATTCTCCCACTTTGCCCTACATATCCAACTTCATTTTATAGCTCAAAATTTAAAAAGCACACATAAAACAAGGATAGGGTCTGATTTCTGTTGGCCAGCTACTCCTTAGCCTAATGCCTACTACAGAACATGGGCAATATAGCCCCCACCATCCCATTGGCAAAACTGCTTTTCTTGATCCCAGCAGCTATGAATTAAAAATAGGTCTTGGCCAGGGGTAGATCTTGATGCCCCCCTCCCTTCTCTGGATGAGGTTCTTACTTGACCCCATCTCTAAATGGAAAGTATGCTGTCATCGCTGGCTCTTGTCACAGACATAGAAAGATTTTATGAACAGCAAAAGGTTCTTCTCAAATACCAATGTAACATAAAATGTTTAGTAAAAGTAGAATTTCATTTCATTTTTTCAGTAGAATATGTGATATCTGACCCAAACTTGAAATTGCTTTTGCTCCCTTGGTATTAAATAAGTTGGGTTCAATTTATTTGATCTTGCCAAATGTAAGCTGGCATCCGAGGAGTGAATGCTACATATAAAACTCTGATTTTACGGGCTCTCTCATAAATGTGTGGGTGTGGATTTGTCAGAGACTTTTATCCTCATCATCAGAATGAGAGTTCATGGAGATCTTTTGCCTGTAAGTGCTTAAACAACCCTCATGCAAAAGCAGGGAAGAAAGAGAGAGAGAGAGAGAGAGAGAGAGAGAGAGAGAGAGAGAGAGAGAGAGAGAGAGAGGGAGGGAGGGAGGGAGGGAGGGAGGGAGGGAGGGAGGGAGGGAGGGAGGGAGGGAGGAGGAACATGAACTGTAGGAAGTTATTCCATTCATCCTGACTCTACAGAGATACCAATATGAGGATTAGGCATTGAAACAATCGCTGTCATTATGGTGTTTGGGGATGTGTTTATCATTGCCTCTGTGTTTTCCAATGGATTACTTGTGACTGTGATAAAGAAACTGTCTGTGATAGCTACACAAAGGGGTAGTCATTTCGGTTTGTGTTTGAACCTCCAGGCTGCTGTACAAATCAAACAAAATGGTATCCAGCTGCTTACATACTCCTATAAAATACTGTTTGATCATATGATTCTGTGTACATCTATAAACATATAAACCATTGTAATATGAGAAAATTGAGGTTCCATTGCATCACAATCGGGAAATCTAGAGTAGCACTGCCAAGATAAACTCGGACCTTTCTCCCCATTATCAACAATATCATAAGAACTTTCACTTCACATAGTCATTGATGCTGGCCATTTGCAATGTACATGATCATCTGGTAATGGACAACAGACAGAATTCTTCCTAAGGGTCCAGTATACTCTACTCCACCACCTCATGTACCTAATGTTCAAGTAATGCAAGCCTCAGACAGCTGGGAAGGCTTGTCAACTGAACTCACTAGTCCCATGCCTACAGCATACCACAGAGAGCACTTAAATCACTGGGTTCATAGAAAGTCTGAAATTTTCCAAATCTTCTTAGTATAATTTATGAGATTACGTCTGATCACATTGAAAAATAATCAGAAGAAAAACAAACAGAGAAATAAAGACATGGGCAAGTGATGTTTCAAACTTTGCTGACCATAAACTTTGGCCCTTAGAGATGAAAATAATATCTCAACCTTTTCTATTCTATACTGAATGAGGACATGCCTTTTAAAGTTACAGTCTAATGACACACCTACTTTCCTTCTGCCCCCACCTGACTTTTACTTTCCTCTTCACTATCCTGAGTCTTAAACATACAACAAAAAGAAAGTTCCTTGAATTTGCACCAGCCTCACTGCTGTTTCGTGATTTCTTGTTTCCCACACTCAAGGTGGCACAGGAAGGAGACTTCTTTGTTCTTCAAGCTATCTTTAGCCGGTAGAACTGAGTCAAATGCAGGCAACTAGACATAACTGTCTTAACGTTCAGTTGGTACGTGGTTGAACACACAGAGCTAAACAAGCCGCTGAGTTTGGAGCTTTGGGCGTGTGGTCAGCTTCTCCACACCACGTGTCCACCAATTTACGTTCCTCGTGCTGGCTACAGACTTAATGACGCGGTCTCCTCCCTCTCTCTCCTCTCTTCCTTCTCATCCCCCCCTCTTCCTCCTCTGCATTCCACCAGTTTATACGTGAGAAAGAAAAGACTGTAAATGAAGCCGTGCAATCATGGGAATACACTAAGTGTTGGGGAAGGGCAAGTAGTTACTGCCTGGTGTGCCCCAGATGCACGGCTCAGCCTCACTTTGATTTGCCGATGAGCTTGGATCACATTCTTCGGCATAATCGCTTTGAGATCAGTTTTTCCCCCTAAACCTTTGAATCTCTGTGTGAAGAGATAGAAAGATTGGCAGCATGATTGTTCAAGGAGCCTGAGCGTGTCATCCATCAAAACAGACCTACCTCTGTGTTATTCTAAACAGGCCAAACGCAAAGCCAACTGACTGACGACTAAACCACCAAGAATACAGAACGCAGGCTGGGTGTTGGTGGCGCACGCCTTTAATCCCAGCACTCGGGAGGCAGAGGCAGGCAGATCTCTGAGTTCGAGGCCAGGCTGGACCAACAGACTCCAAAACAATACAGAGAAACCCTGTCTCGTAAAACCAAAAAAAAAAAAAAAAAATATATATATATATATATATATACACATATATATATATATAGAACAAAATAAAATCACCACATCTGAAGATAGTTTTACGAACGGGATCTCATGATAATGGGATACCAGTAGAAGTAAACACTGTATTTGTTCATCTCTTTCACCTAGAATGAGACACCAATATTGATATAGCTGAAATGTGCTGCTGCTTTTTTAAACCAATGATGCACGTTTCTGGCTAGTCACTTATATACATATATGTTGACTTAAGAAAATTAGTATCTTATTTCCGTAGATCTTATACTTCCCCCAAGTTTCTACATTTTTCTCCTTTTCTAATTAACTTTGTGGATTTCAAACTTGTAATAACTACATATCTAATTGCATTTTACTGGGATGTACACTACAGTTGGGTTTGGTGTTTTGGGGTTTTTTTGTTTTCTGTTTTGTAGCATGATTGGAACCCCTGCAGTCACTTACCTTGAATTAGAATGCAGTTGATGAATTCCAGAGGTCTATGCGCGCGCACACGCACCCCACCTGAGAATCTCAACTCACTTCATACCCTGAAGCATCATTCCCTGGTGTAGAAATGAAAGAACTAAAGATAAGAAATCTGCACACTCACAGGTATTTAAGGGTTCTTTTTTTTTTTTTTTTGCTGCTGTTTTGTTGGTAGTTATTAGTTTCTGTTGGACTCCAGGTGCAGAGTTTCATTAATCATGCTCGATCCATCTTGACAAGGTTTCCCCCATTTAAGCATTTATTCCAATTTAGCTCCACCTCCCCTCTCCCACTTAGGTGGCTGTTGTAAGGCTCTGATGGTACTTTCCCTTCATACATGCATCTTATAAGACATTTTGTCATCAACATCATCATCCTTTAGTTTTAAAAGAAACCAAGACATCTATTCCTTTAGCTTTTAAATCTTTCGAATTGTATCTTGTACTCCTTTAAAATTAAAAACAAAAAAAGTAATACTTCCTTAAATATTATCGGTGTTGGAAATAAGTTAACTCTATGGTAGAATTCTCCAGCACATCTCACTTGAATATCCCTCTCTCTCTCAGTCCCAGTTTCCCTTCTTCCTTCCATGACTCGCAATTCTCTTACAGTTCTTTCATCTTCCAGGATGTTGCCAAAAATCCAACGAAAATTGTACAGAATATTTATGGGGATGCTAATACATTGATAGAGCCAGGAAATTTCAAAATAATTTTTTTCTTTTTCTTTTCCTATCCCAGTTAACTTTCTTTTTTAATTTTAGAAGTACTCTTATTTACCTACCAATCCCCCATTCTCTCGCCCTCCCATCCTCCCATGCTCCCCACCGACTCCCCAACCCACCCTCCACCCACTCCCCAGGTATAATGAGGCCCTCCATGGGGGACCATCAAAGCCCATCACATCATTTAGGGGAGGGCTCAGGCCCTCCTTCCCATATCTGGGCTGAAACAGTATCCCGCCATAGGGAATGGGCTCCCAAAGACCATATGATATGTGCTCTAGGGATAAACACTGGCTCCACTGTTAGAGGTCCCATAGACTGCCTTGGCCTCCTAGCTGGCACCCGCATTCAGAGGGCTTTGTTCAGGCCAGTGCTGGTTCCCCAGCTTTACAACAAGGATCTCTGTGCTCTCATTAGGTCAGGTCAACTGTTTCTACGGGTTTCTCCAGCACACAGTCTTGGCTCCTTTGCTCATCCCTCCTCCCTCTCCGAAACTGGATTGAGACCTGTGATCTATTCCTGTTGGTTAACTTGACTACATCTGGAATTAACAACTAAAACCCAAATGGCTAGGCGTACCCCACTACGAGGGATTTTTTTTCCTAATTAAATCATTTGAAATGGCAAGACCCACTTCTAATCTGGATCTCTGAGGCGAAAGTATCCACTTTCTGGTGGCAGCCGACGTAGGATGTGGGAGAAGGAAGCTTGCTCTTTGCCTGCTCCTTCTCATTCTTGCTGGCAAGTCCATCCCTTGCTGGCATTAGAGCTTACTTCCTCAGGATTCTGGCATATACTGAAGACCGGCTGAGACATTCAGCCTTGCGGATTGAACCTTTCATTGGTAGACAGTCATTGTTGGACTAGCAGGACCACAGCCTTCAAGCCATTCTAATAAATCCCATGTATTTTATATGTGTGTGTGTGTGTGTTTGTGTATTCATATATATTCATTCTATAAGTTTCATTCACCTAGACAATGAGACCCTTTTGTTTTTACTATGGCTACCACTGTTTCTTCCACAAACTGTGCATCCTATTACTAACTACAGGATCACCACGTATTAGTGAGCTGAAAACTGGACTCAATATGACAACCTTTAGATCAAATACAAAATGTTAGTACATATTTGTTACCATGATTTTCCACGATGGCAAAAATTTAGTATCCAGTTCCTACTATTATGGGTATAAAATATGACGCAGAATTTGCTTTTGAAGGCAGATTCCTGAAGATACACACAGTCTGTTTGATCCACTCTGGGAAAAACCTGTTCACTGAAGTCTGCAGAATCAAGGAAGTACCATTTGGAAGATACTTCATAGAAGCATAAATGGTCAGACTAGAACATGAACATAAACCTAATTTAGCCATAACTTGGATACTTATACTGTCTAATGCCATGAGTCAAAATTTGCAAGGTTATAAAAATATCACAACAAAATAGACACAATATGGAAACAAATACTGGTCCACAGACTCACAGAGGTCATCTCTGGGTCACCTATGTGCTGCAGAATATTATGGTTTGCTTCCCTGCTGCCCCGAGGTACACATTAACTTCTACTAAAACGAATTTCTGAGATTCCCTCGGGAACGAATCTGAACAATTTCCCACTCTTTCTTCGCTTTCAGTGTGCTGACATTAATTAATACCTAATTCCTGAAGTGTGTTCACATTGCAATAATAGGCAAAAAAAGGCGTGATTTTGGAGCAGACTGAGCACACAGTCTCCTGGCACAGTTCCACAGGACAGGGCATCTCTCACCTGCTGCTCTGAGGACCAGGACCTTCCTCGGGCCAGTTCAGAATCCTCATTTGGCCCAAAAATCTTAACAGAGAGCAGGAAATGCCTTGGTTCAGTAAATGTAACAAGCACTTGGTATAAAACTGAGGCCATCCTGAGTAGCTCACCAAAATCTATGTAGAAGAAACTGGTCTAATTGGCATGCATGATGGCTGAGCAAGTACCCAAAGCAACTAAATTCCACAATCTGGCATTGTTACTTTAAATTTAGACATTTATTCATGTATCCATGTTCCAATAGCTGACCTGCAGCATCCATACTTAAGTGAAAGTTAGCTTCATGAAGACAACATCATGTTAATTAGGTCACATTTGGAAGGAAAGCATAGGGAAGACATAAGAGAGGGATTGGTGTGTTATGCTCCCGTCCAAGGTGGGAATTATCTCCTTGGTCAGAGCTGTGAGTTCCTGTGTTGTTTCAGAACTCCACTAAGAAATGTGTAGTTTGGTTTGCTTTTAATCAGATATATTACAGAGCCTTCTTTTACAAAATGTTTAATTTTAGAAAAAAAATTGAGAGAGGCAGTAAAATAAATTAACAGTAAGCACAAAGGGAAGATAATAAAAACTTGTGCTTTTAAAAAGTAAACAGTGTATGTTCCTCACTTGGAACCCTCATACTCGTGAGAGTTCTCAAAACCTATTTTTCCTCTCCACTCAAAGAGGAAAAAATAAGCAGTGTGACTCTTGAAATTAGTAAAAAAAATGTACACAGGAACATAAACAACACCCTAGCAAAACAAAACAAGAAGCATGGGTTTATAGGCTGCCCCATTTATGAAAAATGAAAGATATAACTGGACAAAATAGGAGTAGACAGTTCTTAGAAATATGCACAAACCCAAAGATACATAATAAACATGTCTGGGTTATTTTGTTGAAACGAAAACAGGTAGGGTAAATGAGGATGGAGTATGACTAAAAAACAAACTAGGGAAGAGCTTTCATGGGACCAAAAAGTGGCCAGCCATGAACTGAAGAATGGCCTAGCTTAATTCTGTATCTGGAGTTTTCAATGATGCACTAATATTTTAAGAACTGTGTAAAAAACAAATATGTCATGTATTCTCTTCTATGTAGATGTTGGTTTTCAAGCCTTTGATAGGTGAGCTACTATCTGAATAACCAAAGAGATTAGGTAAGACACTGGGGGTAGAAGGAGAGGGTCTTCCAAGGAAGGAGAAATTGAATACACAGTTATAGAAAATCTGGGGGGAGACTGGAAATGGAGAATTAGATGGACAGCAGGAAGGAAGAGGGGATTAAATGAGGGAAAATGGGGAGGGACAGCTAACACCAAGGGCCATTTGAAAAGGATCATATGGAAACCTATGACAGTAGGAGATTTTTAAAATATATACATATATGAGAAATGCAAATGAAGTATCAAAAGCCACACCGACAAAGCCCTAACTAGACATCTCTTACCACCAAACAAAGCCTCCAGTATGAGAACGGTTCATGTCTAATTGAGTTATTGGCCAAAGGGGGCTGCATGGAAACCCTTAAGCAATACTAGGTGTCGCCAGGTGCTAGTGGTTGCTGTCCACAAACTAATAGTAAGGTCCTATTGCTGATGACAACACATCACATTGAACGAAAGAAGTCGACTTGGTGCCCACCTGGAGCCTCCACCCCCACTGACTAGTGTCCATGGTACTGAAGTTATTCTGCACACTACCAGAGGAAAAAGGTAAACATAAACCCCGCTATAAACCTTTTGATCTACAACGGTGACCTGTCGACATGATGCGATGTATGTCAGTGATGCAAACATTCGAGTAACCAGCTACTATCTGGCTGGATTTAAGGCCCACTCCATGAGATGGAATGTAACCCGAATAATAAAAACCCATAGACAGATATTGAGGCTCAAGCTGAAGATCAGAGAAGCAAAACAGCCAAGTCACTAGAGAGCTCTCACCTCTACCAATGCTCAGACCAAAGCGGCCATTCACTGAACCTCAGATTGCGTCTCCAGACTGCGCTTCTCTCCACCAGACCTCAGAATCCTTGACTGCTTTCTGAGACTACATTGAACTCCTTATGTACTCTCTAGTGCTGGGATTAAAGGTGTGAGCTCTATTTCTGTTTTAGGCTTATTCACTCTAATGTAACCCTGGGTAGCCTTGAACTCACAGAGATCCATCTGCCTCTGTCTCCTGAGTCCCGAGATTAAAGGTGTGTGCCACTACTGCCAAGCTTCTAGAGCTGACTAGTGTAGCTGACTTTGCATTCTAACCCTCCAGGCCATCTTTATTAAATTATAAATAATGTATCATCACAATGCAACCCATGTCTGACACTGCTCAGGTGGCCAAGAACTTATGACTAAATAGGCCAGAGGTCTAGGGAATAATCAAATGCTAATGTTCTGCTAAAGGAACACAGCAACAAAATGACTCTTAGCGGCATTCTGCTATGCTCATAGATCAGTGCCTCAACTCAGGCATCATCAGAGAAACTTTCTCCTGCAGTAGACAGGAACCAATACAGAAACCCACAACTGAAAAATGTTCAGAGAGTAAGAAACCTTGGAACACT